GCAGCTGATTCCACAGAGTATTTCATTTACTTGATTTTATTTTAATTGAATCAGGCCTGAGACTAGGGAAACAGAAATAGCTTTTATAGAGAATCGCACATTCTAATAGTTCTAAATTTTTCCTTATAGGAGAATTATAAACATTTGCATATTACAAGAGCTGACTACATACTTTCAAGTTTATACATTCTGCCAGAGGATTTGATCATCTACTAGAAAAAAAGGAACGAACTGTTCCATATCGTCCATAATAGGAAATTGCACAATCCCAAGAATACGGGGCAAAGAATATTCTTCTTTGACCTACTAGTCGCAGATCCAAGCAAAGATACATCACCACTCCTATGAAGAAATAAATGTGCTTCTAAAGACATGAAAATCAGATGTGATTTTATATCACACATTAGGGCTTTCCTCTTGATGTGAAACTAATAACAGCAGAGCAGCACTGGGTTTTTTTTTTTTTTTTTCTCTTTATTCTCAAACTGATTGTTAATGAGAAAACACATGGAGCAGGTTCATAATGTAACTTGAATCCTTAGTCTTCTCTTTCCAACTCAAGTACTGGAAGACGACACTCTTCATTGTATTCTGGCCATCAGGTTCTCTCTTTTCTCTGTCTTTAGAGTCCCTTCCAAAAGAAAACATTCTGCCTGGCATTCTATATTACTCCTAATTCTCAGGTGAAAAATGAGACAGAGAAGTGACATCTAAAAACATCAGGGGTTATATTTTTAAAAACAAGACGATAATTCAGATCTTATTCCTTTAATTCTTCTTTATATTACCACGGTAAAATATTTATCAAAGTCAAAGAGATTACTGATACACAATAATGACCCATGACTTTATGTTATCGATAATTATCAGTGAAGTAACTGAAAACAAGTTCAAATGTAAAAGGTGCTTTGCTATTCTGTTTATACAATATTGAAACAACCATAACATTTAAACACCCAGAAAGTTCTAAGCAATATTAAATAATAATTGATAACTGTGAAATACTGTAACATCTTGAAATATCTTCTGAATGACCAAAAACCGATGAAATTTTGTTTGGTATAACTCGTTAAGTTTTTTTACACATAACTCTATATTTTTAAAAATTGGTAATCCATGTTAAGATACATAAAACCCTTAACTGACTAGATTGTTCAATAAATAGAGCTCCACGTAGTTTTGTTGTTACAGATTAATGAGCTTATAATTCAATGAAACTCTTTCAAGAAGTTCTAGTCTATAAAATGACATGTTCAAATTGTTTGGTCCTATTATTAACGAAACTCTTCAAATTCACGTTTAATTCCTCTGAATATCACCTTTAAAGGGCCTGATTTGATTTCTGTCAAAATATATCACAAGTGTACCCTGCAGTCTCTAGTCTACGGGTTCTTCATGAGTTTCAGTTCAGTATACGCCAGCACAGTGTCCTTCCTGTGAGTTTCCCACTAGAGGACTTTCAGTACCAACTCTAATACTTTACATAAAGTATCCTGTTCTTTTCTAGGTTTGTGGTAGAATGTCAAATTAATAATGGCATGTGGTATTCCTGAGCATAACCTGCCAAAATGTAATAATTTCCTTGGAAGAAAAGCCATGGGCTGCAATCACACGTCTGAGCTGACAGACATCCAAATGGATCCTATATAAAAAGAAAAGGTTTGTGTCTTCTGGAATATGAATGTCCACTTTTAATAAATTCAAACAGATCCCAACATAGACATCTTCAAACTTGATAGGTTTTACATGACTCATCATTTCATAGATTTTGGGCACCAAATCTCTGGACATGATGTAACCCAACCCACTGCAGTAGGGAGGAAACACCCGGAAGGGATACTCCTGGTATGAAATATGGGTTTTTTGGTAAAATCCTCTATAAGAATAATTATCAATTAGAGGATAACCTGTGAAAAATTTCTCGGACTGGTTTAAATTTAAAAGATACTTCACTAAATTGCCAGTATTGATGAAAACATCAGTGTCTGTCTTCATGATGTACTTAGCATTGGGGCAAAACTCACTTACCCACCTGAATGCCATAATTGTTTTCAAGGTCAGGTTATTATATGTGTCTAAAAAATCTTGTCGTATTATGTCACCATAAAGAAGGTGTTCATCCTCTAAGGACAATGCTAACACTTTGTCTTCTTTTTCAGCTTGCTGGCCTAATAAGAAAAATGTAAGAACCTCATAGCCCCACCAAGACTTTTTTTCACCCCAAGTAACTCTAATGGCCTGTCTGGCTTTCACATCTGAAGGGTGTGAGGTCACCAGGATGACTAGAAATGGTTTTTGATGAGAGCAGTTTGAATGCTCTCGAAGCGTGAAGCGAAAGTCTTGTCTGTAAATTGGCTCGTACTCATAGAAGTACATCCAGTTCACGCGCTCTATCACATTGTAGTGGGGCAGGCTGAGGTACCACATCACGAGGAAGCTCAGGATGGACAGCAGCAGGAGGCTCCATTTGAGGGATCTCAGTGACATGCTACTTGGAATGGTGGTTAAGAGGGCCAGGGCCATCCACAGCAGCTCAGAAACACGTGAGGCTCAGATTCTGGAAGATTTACCAAAGACCTGGTTAGTAATCCACCACCTAAATCACGTTTCAAACGACATCTGATTATCTACTTAAGAAAGAGCAGAACAGAGCTCCAAACAAAACCCAAAATCCTGACCTGAATTTTATTAACGTCATTTAATGTATTTTAGTTTTTTGCATCAAAATAAAGGTTAAAAACATATCCTTGATTATTTTGGAAAATTACTACTTCTTGTTTAATATAAATAACAGTTAAAATACGATTTGGTCCGGGATGTCCAGTGCGACAGAAAGAGATGAGTAATGGGGAGGAGTTTAAAAAATACATTTGCAATAAAAAGACAAACCAACAAAAAGACTGCTTCTCTTCTTTACCACTGTGAAAAAGAAGTGAAGGATTTAATGCGAGGAGATATTACCAGCAACGTGTCCAAATAAACCAAGGGTCTTTCTCAACTGTGTGATCTAATATGAATTCTAGCAAATCTGGAGCAAGAAAAACGGTAGCTATAATAATTCATGGTGATTTGCTGGTGTGAGATGAGATAAAGGTAGAGACTCTTCATGTGAAAGGCAAGTTCTCTAAACACAAATGGATGAATCTGGAATTTTAAAATGCTCGGACTATGAAATAGCTTTTCCTTGCCCCAAACATCACCCCAGTCCCGTTTTTACCTCATGGGCTGAACTCAGTGCTCAGTTTGAACAGCAGGCACTTAAATTAAAGGCTAAGGGACTTCAGAGGAAGGGACATATCAACAACACAAGGGGCAGGCTGAGGAGGCTCCTGATGGGGCCCGTTCGCCCACGATCACCTGCAAGAGGTCTCTTTGCCAAGGGAACTGAGATTTTGCTATGGAGGATGCACAGTAATGTCATTGTATGGGAAGGCTGGTCTACCAAGGGTTCTACCTTGGGTCAATCTCAGATCTTCGGACACATAGCACTTCTGCCTCTTAATACATATAAGAATGACAGAGTCTCAAGGCTCCTTGTCCTCTCCATCTGGCTATATCTTACCTGCCATCATTATTTCAGGCCACAATAATCTTTCTTATCCTTAATAACCTTTCTTACCTTTAATGCTTTCTGTAGTTTAAATCATACAATGCAATGAAATGTTCTTGGAAAATTCTCGAGTTTGGTTTCATGTATATGTGTCTTGCCTCTCCACTTAGGTTCTGTGACCTCACTGGCAAAAAAGCATTTTTCTCACAACAAAGTGCAAGACAGAGGGCAGCCTACAGCAGCAGTGCAATGAGCACTGACTTGTCTGATATGGTATTTCCATTGGTATAAGGATAAAATCTAGGTCCATGCATCCCACACCCTATCCACCTACCCTGTTACTAGTCTTCCGTAGCCAGTTCCTGGAAAACCTGAAACAGGATGGACCCAGAATGAGAATTATGGAAGTAATTAACATCTTTGTACATCTCCTCACCTGGTTACTAGACACTGCACAACCCGAGGGGACTCCATTTACATCTCAGCCAGGGACACCTTGTACACTGATTACCAGAGCTGTCAGATGGCAGTTTTACGACTCGTTCTAACAAATCAGCACATTATAAGAAATTCTGGACGAATGGAAAGAAAGTGTCCTGAGCAAGGAGAGTCATTTATAATTGCACATAGGCAATGCGGGCCCTGTTACTCGTCAATAATGGGAATACTCAAAACAACAAATCTTATCATAAAAGTTATCTTATATGCATTCTTCAAGCCACAGTTTCTAAATGTGAAAATGTGACTGTGGTTATGACATCTACTGCTTATGGGGGACCATGAAGGAAATGAAGCAGCAGCAAAAAGAAGAGGAACTTTCTAGTTCAAAAGGAGGGAACAGCCTTTCAGGGATTAGCCAGAACAGACTTTAGGGTACCCACAACATGGTGGTTCTAAGGGCCAAGGGACCGGAATCTATACCCCAGCTCTTTCCTCTACCAACCAGGGCGAGTGGGTATATATTTATCTCTGGGGACCTCAGATTCCTCATCTCTACATTGAAGATGTTAACACAGTGTAAAGTAGTCAGAATATGTGCAAGGCACCTGGCCAGTATAAGCTTGTCAACGCAGAGAGGCCATCATCACCAGCTGGGTCCTACTCTTGTCATCTTTTCCGTCCTGTTTGTGTCTCTCAACTGACTTTTGTTGTCAAAAGGGATTATTCTAAATAATCTTGATAAACTCTTACTAAAGAAAAGTAGATTTCAAAGCCATAAATATATTTCTATTTCTTACCTTCTTCTTAATTTATTTCTTCTGAGTGAAAGACCTTCAGTTTTCACCAATTGAAAGTAGCAGTCAAAAATAATGCTTGAAATTTCTGTAATATATATAAGTAATGTTAACAGCATTTATATATTGGTCAGGGGATTAGAGGCCAATGAGGGGAAAGGATCCCCGTTCTCTTCTGAACTAGTTGAAATAAAAAGTTAAAAAGAACACCACTAGTCCACAGAATCCAGAGACGTCATGGCTTCACTGTGAATACTTGGTATTCAAGACTTAAAACATACGTCTAAGTTCTCAAGTCAGCTGATGTCTTACGTTACTCTAGGACAGGTCTACTTCCCTGATAAAGAGCTCAGGAGTCACTAAAAGAAGTAAAACACAAAACTCTTAAAAGATACTTTGCTGGTACCCTCTCTTT